AGGCCCACAAGGGGCCCCCAGGAAGCCCGAAGAAGTTCCGAGGAGGCTCCCAAGAGGCCGCCAAAAGGCACCCAAGAGACGCCCAAATGCCTCCTCGCAGGCCCCCGAGGGCCTTCCCCCCGAGAGAACTCTGGCCCACGTCAGCGTCGTCCTCGTCGCCGCCGCCGCCGCCGCCGCCGACGTCGTCGTCGTCCTCCTTCGGGGTCGGCGGCACCGATCGTGAGGCCTGCGCAATAAATACACACAAAATGCGCGCAAACGCTAAGGATTGTTTATTGCGTAAGCTTTGGAGTCCCGAAACGGTGCGGTGACAGACAGTGCGGTGACCTCGGAACCCCAAGAGACCTCACCGCACGTTCCGTCACCGCACGGTCTTGGGACCCTGGAGGCCCCTGTCGCCCGAGACATCCTCGGAGAGGGGCTCGAGTCCCAAAACCGTGCGGTGACCCCGAATCCCCACCAACTCACCGCACGGTGTGGTCACCACACCGTTTGGGGGCCCCCGATAAGCGCTCCGCATTAACACGGCCACAGAGCAGGAGAAACAAGCCCCCGGCGCGCACGCGTGGGAAATGCAACGAGAGCCTCGTAGAGTTCAGCAAACTCATGACGCGCGCGTGTGCGCAAGCCATGAGTTGAAAATCGCCCTGCAGGCACGCGCGACAAGAGGTCTTGCTACAAGGGCGTCTGCGGGCACGTCCTTCGTCGACTCTGACCTTCGCAGGGTGCCCCGGGATCTGCGGGGCTCAAAAGGAGATCTGAATGTCCCGCGGGGCAGCCGTTGGCAGGGTGGTATCTTATTTGGTGTGCCCACTGTACATGTCGTTCATGTCTAATCGTGCTCATTTCTAATTGTGCTCGTTTCAAATTGTTCCTGGCCCCTTTAGTGGCCAGGACGAGGCCCAGGATAGAACAATTAGAAATGAAAGGATCTTGGCCCCCCAAAAAAATCAAAGAACTTTCGAAGACTTAGACATGAACAGTGTGTACCGATGCCGCTACTCCCCGGACCCCTCCCAGGGTGCGATCTGGCCAGGACTCCCACGCGAGTCCAGCCGCGGCGACCAAGAGGCATCCCGGGAGGCCCAAGAAGTCCAACGCACAGAGCCGTGGTGACAGCACCCGTACCTGCTCCTCCAGCGCGGGACCGAGACGTCTCTGCGCGGACCCTTCGGGCAGGTATGCGAACACATCTGGTTCTTACTCTTGGGTCGGGCCTGTCCCCCTACCGGGGGGATTCTGGATGAAGAATAGGAAATAATCAAACAAAACTCAAAAATAGTCCAACCATCATCCCCGGACTATTTTTCTTACTATTGTTGAATATTCCTCCTGTAGAGTGCAGAGGGACACCCCCGCCTTGATCTTACTCGAATGGCGTCACTCCCCGGACCTCTCCCGGGAGGCGTCCTGACCAGCTGCTCTCGGCGAGCCACGACGAGCCCCGCCCGAGGCGACGAGGGCCTCCCAGAGAGGCAGAAGGGAGGCAAGCTGGCGGTGCGCACAAGGGGGTGGAGGTCGGGTGCGGCCAAGAGGGGGGCGTCCGAGAGGGGGGTGTGCAAATCATGGCCGGCGGCATGTGCGCGGCCTAGGGGGGGGGCCAGGGACAGAATGAAATAAGAAGAGTCGCCGCGAAACCTGGGGAAATATCATGGCCCACGCCATGATATCCACCCCCCCCTAAGCATCACCCCCCTCTTTGCCGCTCCCGAGGAGGGAGGGGGGAGGGCTTCTCAGAAGGAGGCTGCATCTAAGAAGGCGCCAGCCTTACATCCGTAGATCAGGCCCGCGCCTTCTCTAAGAGGCAGGGGTGCTTCCTAGCGAGCCCTCCACCCCTCCCCCCACCTCCGTCTGCGCGTGGCCGAGCAAGGGTGGTGGGATCGGCACCGCTTCCTCCTCCTCCTCCTCCTCTGGACGGGTGCATTTTTAATCCGCGGCCCCAGCGGTCACGACTGCGTCCCAGATCCATGCATGATGGCAACAGGGCTTATGTTGCTCCCATCGTACTTGAGGACCACATCCCAGAAATAATTTCGAGCACCCGGAAAAGTGTCGAAAGAGTGTCGAAACAGTGTCGGACGAGTGTCTCCCAGGGCCCGACGTGTGAAAACCCTAGAGTTTCGGTACTTTTATGCTGGTGCTCGAAATTCTTTCTGGTGCTCAAGGCTAAAGTAGGTTGGAACATCATAAAGCAGGGCCTGACAGCGGGCCCCAGAGGCCGAAATCCAGGGGTGGTCGGAGATGTGTCCTGACTTCGGCTCCGCCGTGCTGTGGTGGATGCTCCGACTTGCACGTGCCGGAAGTGCACCCCAAACGATAGCGACAGGCAGGAAAAGGAATTCCTGCCTCAGCAAAGCAGGGGGGGGAGCTTTCAGCAGAAGCATGTCGGAAGCAGCGACGGCTAAGCGAGCAGAAATCGGCACAACAGGAGCGGGCGACAGTCCCCGCCCTACTTGCGAAATCGCCCAAACAGAATGCGGGGGATCCGAAGCACGGGTGGGGCGCCTCGCTGCGGTCCATGGCGTCGAGGCTGATCTTCAGCTCCCTCTGCAGCATGCCGAGGCCCCACCTCGTCTTGCCGGCGCCGGGGGGGCCCCGCAGGACAACGAGGCGTCGCGGGAAGGCAGGGGCGTCCGCCCGCCGCCTGACGTAGTCCATCATGCGTGACCTCGGGGGGGCGAATAAGATGGATGCCCCGGGGAGTGGGGTCGAGACATCCCCGGGCATACGGTCCACGTCCTGGAAGAAAACACGACGTCGGATCTGAGGGTTTTCTGCTCTCCCTTCGCTCCCTGAAAGAAGAAGAAGAAGAAGAAGAAGCGCCTGCATAGGCATGAACGTTTGAAGGTCCGCGCAATGTCTAAGATCGGCGCTGAGCCCCCTGGCGGGCTCCGCGTGCCAGAGATGGGGATCCAATGTCGATGCAAGGAATCCGCGCTGACATCCGAGAGTTTCATTGCAATGATTTAAATTTAAACGTTTCTTTTGCTTTGTTCCCTGAGAGCGCTTGGCTAGAGGGGTCTCGAAATGGGAAAAAACAGAAACGTTCCACACGGGGGCTGGGGAGCCCGACCCCCTGGTCCAGCAGCCGTGTCGCAGGCGACTTCCTGACAATCTACGCGGGAATAGTGCTCTCGCCTCACTTGAAGGGGCCCTGGGACACGCAAATAAATACACACAAATAAAACGATGCCCCATGGTTTTCCAAATATTCTCTGGGTTGTTGTCTTCCCCCCACTTCCCACATTTTCCCATATGTTCATTGTGTCCGTGTGTTTTTTCCCTCCTGATCAATGCCTGCTGCATTTGGTCCCGGACGGCCACGATCCCTGGTGAACAGCATACTTAAAACGGCCGTTCTCGCACCCCTGTCGCGGCTGCATCTCTCTTAGGCATCCCAAGCAGTACACATGTTCACCAACTGGCCTCGCACTACTCCTCGACCCGCCTCTTCACCTTTGCTACTATTCGGGTGCCGTGTTCGGGTCATTTCAATCCAGGCGGTCTTCTTCCGTTTCGGCCTCTGGGGCCCGTTACGGGCCCTGCGACCACCGAAAATGAATAGAGGACGGAAAACTGCTCCAGGAGAAAGGCTCGGGACTTCAGGGGCTGCGCAGTAAAACATTAGCATCGTCGGATGTCTGGGGATTCGGGGGAGCGCCGAGGGGGGGAGTGAGAGTAGGCAGGCCTTCTCGAAGGCGGCGGGGCTGCTCAAAGGCCTCAGTAGCCCCCCAGCCTTCTGAGCAGTCCTGTGTGGCTTCGGAGAAGGCGTCAGAAAGCTTCTCAAGGGCCCGAGGCCTTCTGAGCTTTCTGAGAAGGCCCGCCCCCATCTGCCTTCCAACCTGGGCTACCAGAGGGAACGCTAAATCAGTAACGAAAAGCAGTTCTTAGGGGGGCGCAAACATGGATTAGCGATCCATGGATTTGGCGACCGCGTGCCAATTCATCAAATCCGTGGATCGGGGGAGGTGCCCTCCACAAGATGCGGCCAATGCCGCCTCGATCGGCGGCGGGAATCCGCGATTTCCCATGGAAGCGGGACCCGTCGCTTGTGGATGCCATGACAATGGACACTCTAACAATCCGATCATTGAATTTAAACATGTGTCTGAAATGTGTAGAACATGTTCTAAACATGTTTCAAACATGTTTGTACACATTTAAAACATGTTTGAAACATGTTCTAGACATCTGGAAATTATTTGGCAGCACGCTTCCTCTCCATTAATCGACTTCCACAACGCTAATCCACGCCCCCCTGATCCATGTTTGCGATCGCCTGACAGGAGGAACGCTACACCAGGGGAACGGACCATGCATCTCTGGCCACGGCGAGCCTCGGCCACGAAGGGAAGGGACCCCCCGGCCCATAGGTTTCCAGTCGCCAAAGCGGCGCGCCCAGGTCGGCAGGCAGATGGGGGCCGACCTTCTTGAAGGGGCCCTGGGACACGCACATGAAAACACACAAATAAAAAGGATTCCCCAATGTTTTTCATATTTTCTGGGTTTTTGTCTTCCCCCCCACTTCCCATATTTTCCTAGATTTTCTGGGGAATCGACGGTTCATTGTGTCTGTGTGCTGTTTCCCCTCCTGCATTCTTCTCAGCAGGCTCAGAAGGCCTCCAGCCTTCTGAGAAGCACCTCGTGCCTGCCTCCAAGCCGCGGAGGTCACTGCACCGCCCTTGCAGACGTGCTGCGGCGGATTGCTGCGTGGACCTCTGTCGATGCAGAAACTCTCAGCGGCGAGTGAAAAACGGAGTGACTTTCGCGTGGGTTCTTGTTTCAGTCTTCATCCCTGGCCAAGAAAAATCCGCACGAAATTCACCTGGAAGTCGGGAACGACATTCTCCAGGAAACTCCGGGCCCATCCTATCGTTTTCCGAACGAAATCTGCTCTGCGATGTTGGCGCCATGACAGAGGGCTTCTGAGAAGGTCAGAAGGATTCTGAGAAACGCCGCCGCCTTCTGAGAAGGCTTGACCCCTTCACGTTCATCCTCAGGGCGCCGCCGAATGGTTGAAACGTGGCCACAAGAGGACACAGCATGTCCCAGACCTCCTCTCGGCGTGAGGGAACTCACAAAAACACAACGGACGTGCTTTCCGCATGCTTGGCCTCCAGGGGCCCTCAACGCGCCCCGGAGCCGCCGAAAAACGGCTCGGGATGGAAAACTGGTCCCAGGGAAGGGGGCTAGACCTTGATGGTCCAGGTTGCGGAAACAAAAACCGATACTGGAGATCTGGGTACGCGCGATGAGCAGAAGTCCTGGCACGAGGCAGCTGGAAAGAGTCGAAACATAGCAGCAAGAACGTGGATGAAGAGCACGAGCACCTTCGCCGAAGGCGCCAGGCCCGATGGAGATGCCCCAAACGAGAGGCGCTCCGAGGTGGAGGGCGCAGCACACGAAGAGCAGAGGGGTGTCCCTCCAACGCTGGGGACGGCTCTCACCCTCGTGCCGGCCGTACAGCGAGTACGCACGATGCGATCTTTCTGGTGGGCATTCACGGATGGGCCGCTCTGGCTGCCCCGCGGGCCCCCGCGTCTCAGCTGCCCAGCAGGTTCCCAGGGCCATCGGGAAACCAAGAAGACACATGTAGAAGAAGTACAACTACGTATGCACACACACACACACACCGATCTCAGCCAGGCCCGTCCTGGGCCAAGGATCGGTGCAGACGCCTTCCTGGCTTGGCCAGGGGGCATACACACCGATCCTGGGGCCAAGATGGGCCTGGCTGGGGTCGGCGTATGCGTGTAATTCTCTGAGCCCGAATATCTGCCAGGTACCTGCTCGCAAGCCGGCTTCTTGTTCGATGCGCCTGCTGTGCCAACACCGCTGCAGCCCCTGGACCTCTTCCCAGAGGGGGGGGGGGGAGGGCGGCGCCCCGGTCATCGGCCCGAAGCGGATCCAGACGTTGCGACGAGCACCCCCCCCCCTGGAGGGCAACAAGGGCACCCGCACGTCCCCAGACATTCGACGCCTTGATGTTCTCAACGCGGTGGGGGCATTGGACGGGGAACCATGGGATCAGGAGGGCAGGGTCTGGAAGCCGGTAGAGCACCAATTGAGGCCTGTCAAGCCGAGTCGGGTCGCGCCCTGCACAGAAGAAACTGGCCCCAATGAATGGGGGAGGGCTGCGTGCTGCCACCAGGCAGGCGGGCCCGCCCGGAGCAGCGAAGTTGAAAGCACAAGCGGTGAAACGAATCAGAGGAGCAGGAGGAGGAGGAGGAGGAGGAGGAGGAGGAGGAGGAGGAGGAGGAGGGGGAGGAGGAGGAGGAGGAGGAGGAGAGAGAGGGGGGGGGAGGCCTGGCCATGGACAGCACCACCGCGCTCATCAGACAACGAGCCCTCCAGGGTCTGAAGACCCTCCTGGGCACACTCCTCGACGGACGCCCCCGCCTCACGGGGCCCCCAGACGAGACGCCCCGACCCCCAATCCCTTGCGGGCGGGGTTCCCTCCCGAGCCGCTCCCTGACGGCCCCCCATGGTTAGGTCGGGCACGTCCTCCTACAGGCTGAGTTTGGGCGAAAATTTACAAATAATCAAAAAAATACCCCAATATATTCAGCGATGGTCGAGAAATCGTCCCCATATGATGTTGTTTGATTTTTCTCGAAGAATCAACCCCATGGCCCTGAATCCTTGTCCCCATGTGGAGGCCGAAGGCTGCGGCAAAACGCCCGCACGGACTTTTCTTAAGACGGCGGGTGCCTGGACATCCCTCCCCCCCCCTTACCTGCACGGGGGCAACGCTGTGGGGGACAGGCGCATGGGGGGAAACATCGAGCTGGAATCGGCGATCAATCGCCGACAGATTGACGACAGGCCCCCGATGGCAAAACAGCACGTTGCTCGGCGGGGTGGCCTATCAAGCCCCCGTCGGCGAACACTGGGCGATTCGGAGGTCGATGCGTCCCCCTCCTCCCCTGAGCCTCCTCCCCGAACGTTGGCCCCCCCAGACATCCGACGATGTGGCCATGAGGTGATACCATCTTGGGGGTTCGAACGACCCTCGTCCGTCCTCCGTCTTTTCCTCCTCCTGCCTCCAGCTCCCCCTGCTCCCCACCACTTCCTCCTCGTCCTCCTACGGCCACAACCGCATACCAGATAGGGGGTGGGGACACGGTCGACCAGGGGAACGGACACGATCGACCAAGAGAGGATACCAGTACCAGTATCCAACCGCATGTCCCTCCTCCCTCCTCTCCCCATTCTCATCCTACCACTCTTATTCCACCTCCTCCTCCTCCTCCTCCTCCTCCTCCTCTTCCTCCTCCTCCTCCTCGTCATCGTCATCGTCATCGTCATCGTCGACGTCGTCATTCTCCTTGTGTTCCTCATTTCTCACGTCACCCTCCTTTCTCGTCGTCCTTATCCTTCTGCGGTGTTCGGGATTTCTGGTCGCCTGGGTTTGGGGGATTCCCTCGCCCTTGAATATTATGGAATGGTTGAGAAGTCCGTTGGCAAAGCTACGCCAACTCCAGTGGACTCGGATTTGCTGTGCACCCGGGGCTCGTCTACCACGGCGCCCCCCTCGCCGAAGCAGCCGCCCCCTTCGGGCCTGGCAAACCCCGGAGGAGCAGGGGGCGGCGGCGGGGCCAAGTGCGGCGGAAGCGGCAGGCGGATGCTCCCCGGCCCGCTCTTCCCCCAGGACGCCACCAACGCCGA